ATTTTTTTTTTTTTTTTTTTTTTGTTCAAATAAATTAAATGGGTATTAAATAAATTCTATTTGTTCAAACAATTCCGTCGATAACTCGTGATAAATAAGGGTGAAAGATATCGTGCGATACGTAAATGATAAAAGGAGGAAGGCAAAGCGATCTGGCAGTTTAAACCCGTAAAGTACACGTGGCATTTAATATAGCCTTCAAATTCCATTGGGTTTTGCATCTCAACATCGCCGCCTTTGGGCAGAGGCAGAGGGAGCGCACTAGGTTAGCGCCAGCGCCAACGCGACCCCTCTCTTCCAAATTGCAAACTCATATCCTCTAATCCACAAACTTAGCCTTTTCCTTCCGAATGGACTCCACCCCTTTGAACTGGGAAGCTCTCGATGCCCTAATAATCGACTTCGCTAGATCAGAGAACTTGATTGAGGATTCCTTTTCGTCCTCCCCACCTTCTTCCCCTTCCCCTTCCCCTTCCCCTTCCCCTTCCCCTTCCTCGCTTTCCTCCTCCTCTTACCATTCCAGGTTGATCATCCGCCAGATCAGACGCTATTTGGAGTCCGGTGATATTGACTGCGCCATCGATCTCCTCCGTCTTCATGCACCCTTCATTCTGGATGATCATAGGCTACTGTTCCGGTTGCAGAAGCAGGTTTCACTGATTCTGCTCTCTCTATCCCTCTCTCTCTCTCTCTCGCTGATGCTTCGTACCTAATGTTGAATGTGCAACTTCTTTTTGTTCATGCGATATCTTTTGATTTTTATTGTTTAGGCTAATTACGGGATATTTCCATTTTTTTAATCATGCTTCATCGGAAATTGGAAATCTGGAAACATAGAGTCCGTTTGTTTGGTAGCTAAATATCCTAATCAGTGGGAACATCCTTTCATGTATTCTGTTTTCAATAACCAGTATGGTGGAACTTTTTAGTTGATTCGTTTCCCTTTCTGTGTTTATTGTATAAAGAAATTTATTGAGCTTCTGAGGAAAGGGACTCCAGAGGATCGTGTTTTGGCCATTCGATGCATTCGGACAGTGCTCGCTCCTTGTGCTCTTGACGCATACCCGGTAAGCATTTCACACATTCTCGGTTTGCTCGAATTGATATTTTTAAGAAAATATTCTCTGGTAATCAGATCGAGCAAAGAATTATTGTCTTTTTCAAAGAAAGAAAAATTCGGTTGAATTATGAGAAGTACGAGAGGAAGTGCCATAAGCCATCTTTTTTCTACTCTAGTTGGCGTAATAAAGAAGTAGCTGTAGCTACAGAAAGGTGAAAAAAAAAAAAAAAGAAGAGAGAGAGCACCTTAGAAGCCCAAAAGTCCAACCATCTCTCAGAGAAAAGCACCGTAGAATAACTTTTGACTACCTCATAATATTGTTCCATAATGTCTCGAATTCTGTGGGGGAAGAAACCACTGTGCTATTTTTAAATCAGATTCTGCAACTTTTCTGCTTATTCTTTTGGCTGAGTTCTCTATTATTTATGTTGAAGGAGGCGTATGAGGAGTTCAAGCACGTTCTTCTTGCCTTCATTTATGACAAGGACAATCAAACATCCCCAGTGACATATGAGGTGGATATTACTATTTTCTCTCATATCACATTGGTGACTATTACCTTTGGTATTTTGGATGTTTCAGTGGATGTTGACTATGCCACCCTTCCGGAAACCCAGTAACATATGGCTGTTCTTGATAATTAGAATGCACATTTAATATTTGGCTGTCTTGTATTTCAAACAGATGTAAAGGCAACCTTTTCTTTTTAATCAAGAACTTTCCTCTTTTCCTTACTTTCTTATCACTACAAAGTTATAAGGAAAAGTTGGACCATTAATTTCTTGGGATTTGGCCACTTTTAGGGTTCACTAAGCAGTCAAATTGAAGTTTAATGTTTCACGTTATTTTTCACTTGACACATTTAAAATGAGCTCTGTTTAAGGCTCTCAGGGCATTCTATAAGCCTAGTACATATTTCTTTGCCAAGTAGTATGAATTCCTTGGTTCTGGGTGGGTAGGGTATGGAATTGTCTTGTATATTGTTGTCAAGGTGCTTGAACAGAATGTGTGTAGGAGGTTACTAAAAAATCTAAATCTTATAAAATAGTTTCTTAATTTGAAAAGCATAGGGAAAATTTTGGAGTCATTAAGATTTTTTTTTTGTTCTTTGCATATTTTTAAATCTGAGTTGTTCTCCTTTGGAAACTCATAAAGAACAGTTTATTTTATTTTAAATAAACATTATTAATTTTTATTTGAGATGTGAATTCGCATCTCTTCATTCATAGTTGCCTTTTCTTTTATGTTTATGTTGTGTGTATTTTAAAATTTTCAAGTTGAATATGTTGCAAAATTTATCCTTTGGAGTCTGAACAACTTAATTCTCAAATAACATCTTTCAACTCGATATTTTTAGTTCTACGTGCAATATGTTCTCTTTCAGTGGTCTGAAGACTCTGAACAGGTGGAATTGGGAACTGCATTTAGTTTTTCTGCTGAAGGTGCATTTTCTCATGTTTCAGTGGTGTGAAAGTAGGAGGTTTGATATTGCTGGGTTAATGTCCTCAGTCCTACGAGCTCATATGCAGGCATATGATCCAGTCTTCTCAATGACTTTGAGATACTTGATAAGGTTTTTTCTTCATTTTCTTCTTTCTTCTTGTCCCCCACCCATAATAGATCAGTTGATAAAAATTTCATTGAATCTAAAATATTATTCTTTGTCTTTTCTTGCAGCATACATAAAGGTTTTTGCTTTCGTGAAGGCGTGTTGTCTCCCATATCAGATCTCACTGAGAGGTTGCTTCTAGATGAACGTGATCCACCTGCCACACCCAGGGAGAGTCTGCATGAAGCACCTCCATTTGATGAGGTGAGATACCTGATTTTTTAATTAGAATTTTAATTTAAAAAACTTGAGCTTCTAGTTAGTTCCATCTAGTGGTGTGGTACAACGTGAGAGTTTGCTCCTATTTGCATGTGTATTACTAGCTGCCAGGAGTTGTTATTTTCTTCGCCTCTTATTTTTTGATCTTAATATGAGTGCAGGTGGACATTCAAGCTCTTGCACATGCTGTAGAGCTAACAAGGCAGGGGGCAATTGATAGCTTGAGATTCACCAAAGGTGATTTATTTCATGCATTCCAGGTTAGCATCTACGTGAAGGCTTATAATTTTATCCTTTCTGGTCTATGCTTCACTGTTATTAGGTTCTTTTTGTACAAATCCTCGGGTATAGCTGCTAAAAGTACTCTATGCTGCTTTATGTTGCATTAGACAGTGTGAACCATAACCTCATTTGACGGCGTGCTTGTAATTGGTACTAGCATGGGACACAGAGGATGTGACACTGTCTTGATGGGTTGGTGAATAGAAATGTTTCTTCATATTGAAATATAAGGTTGATGGGAAGTGGGATCATTGAGAAATGTAAGGCAAGAGCAAGACCATAGTTCATATGAAAATTTAGTGTATGTAGAAGTAAATCTGTTAAGCGTTTGGAGACAGTTTGTTGTTTGTTCTGAAAATTTTGTTGAAATTTACCGACTGTAGAATCCTCACTCTTTATCTCTTGATTTTCTCTAGCATGAAGAATGGTTCTATCTACTCAGTTGTATTGATATTTACCTTTTCTTTCATTATTTAAAATATTATATTATTTACATTATTCTCTTGTGTTTTTGTGCTTATGACATTTGATTCCAATCATCTCGTCACTTGAAATAGTATTGTTCATTTTGTTTCAGTTTCATGATGGTTCATTGATTATGAGTTTTACATACATATCGCAGAATGAGTTGTGCCGGATGAAATTGGACCTTTCTGTAC